AAAAAAAAAAAAAAAAAAAAAAAAAAATGCACGGACCACTCATACAAACAAAAACACAAGTGGCTCTCAAAATAACTATACTGAGTGAAAAATCCCAGGCTGACAGGGTGGGGTAGGAGTTATGGGTGGGGAGGATTATAAAGGGGATCTTTTGGGAGTGACAGACATATTCAGCGACTGCATGTGGCACTGGTGGTTTCATGAGTGTACTGTAGACCATGCTTAGCCACAGTTTTGCTTTCCAGCGTCATTTACCCATGGTCAGCCATGATCCCCAAATCCTAAATGGAAAGTCCCAGAAAGGAACAGTGCATAGGTTTTAAATTGTGTGTCATTTTGAGTAGTGGATAAGAACTTGCACACTCCTGCTTCATCATGCAGAGGATGTAAACCATCCCCTTGTCCAGTGTGTCTGCTGCTGGCCCATGAGTCACTTAGCAGTGTTGTGGTTATCAGATCAGTGCTTGTGTTCAGGTGATCCCCATGGTTGGCCCTGGTGTTGCCTCACAGTGCCTTTGCTGTTGCCCTTACTTCAGCTCAGGGTGCAGGCATGGTGTCATCTCACATCAATGCAAGAGGAAGGTGAACAGAGTACAGTGAGATTTTTTCTTTTTCTTTTTTTGCATTGCTGGGGATTGGACCCAGAGCCTTGCACATGCCAGGCAAGTCAAGTGCTCTACCACTGAGTTGTACCCTAAACACCACCCCCATCTATTTATATTTTGAGACAGTCTCACTAAGTTACCCAGACTGGCCTTGAAATGAAGATCCTCCAGCCTCAGCCCCCTGAGCAGCTGGATTTACAGGCATATGCCACTAGGCCTGGCTAAGAAATCTTGAGAAAAAGAGAGAAGACGGACACCACATTCACATACCTTTTTTTTTTTTTTTAACAGTATATTGTTTGAATTGTTCTGGGTTGCGATTAGCTCTTTCTGGGCCTAGCTTTCTAGGAAATGTGTAGGAATAGACACAGTCTGGATTGGATCTGGTGCTGTCTGCAGCAGGCATCCACTGGAGAGCTTGCAGTGTGCCTTCCATGGACGAAGGGGGGAAACTGCATGTCAGAACTTCCTAGGTTGTACATTTTAAGACAAGCAGTTTATTCTTTGTCAATTTTACCTTGATAAAGCTGTGAGACACACCTGCTCCCACAAACCCCCTAACCCCATTGTCCCTGCATGCCTGCATTGCTGCGCGCCCTGTATACCCACTGATGGGCAGCTCTGGGGTGTGGCCTGAGCATCTCTCTGCATAGCTCAGAGCTTCCCAGCTGCTGCTGCTGCTGCCGGCCTGAGCACCCACTTTGAGAATCCCCAGAGTGGCATCTGTTTCTGCAGTGGACGAGGGGCAGAGCTCCCTGTCTTGAAATCCGTTCTTCCTGTCCCTGACAGCCTCTCCACTGCGGGTGGCTGCACTGTGTTCTTTCCTATCCTTTCCCCTCAGTGGGGTTGCCAAGACCTTGACCCGGAAGGCAGAAGAATGAGAAGCCATCCAGCTCTGGTCTCCTCATTTATTGAATAGGTGTGGGCGCATGTATCCATTTGAGTCAGCAAGCGTTATTTGTTTTCTGGATGATTTTAAGGAAGAAAGGGCCAGGCGGGCCCCACTGAGCTTCTCCAGCATGCCCTGTTTGTTAACAGTCTGTACCCAGGAACTTGGAACAGCGTGAGTCCACACCAAGGAAGACTTGAAAGTAGTTTTCCTTTTTTTCTCCTGTAATAATTCTGTGAAGTGTTTTTATTTTTAGACCAATTGATTTATGGGAACTAGGGGGAGGTTCCTTTGTTCTCTCTCTCTCATACCTGACAGGTTCCAAGATAATTTTTTTTTTCTCTCAAAAAACAAAAATAAATTCTCAGGTCTTGAAACCTGGGCAAATTCCCAGGGTTGGGGGGCGGTCTAGGTACTGTCTCTTGAAGGGGATCTGATGTCAGCTGATGCCCCCAAAGCTGTGACTTAGGACTTAGCATGGGACTTAGGACAAGCATGGGACTTAGGACTAATTGGGAGTCCCCTTGGTTATCAGATTTAATGAATCATAATATTACAGGATGCTCAGTTACAATGGCACTTCAGACAAATGCAAATAGTTTTTAGCACCCAAATATTGCTTGGGAAGGCCTGGAGAGCCCTGTGTGTACCAGGGGAGGCTGCATGGAGGTGGGGGACCATCTGGGGTCTCAGGATGAGTGATGTGAGGATGGGTAGGGCTTACATTCTCGCCCAACCAAGCATCGGGACTTTCTTACATACTAAACAGTTAGCCTTTGTTTATCTGGAAATTTAATTTAACTGGATGTCTTGCATTTTATTTGGCTACTTCACAGCTCAGCTTTTCCCTGGTTGAGCCCTCCTCCTCCGCCTAGCTGGTTTCTGTGGCAGTCATGAATTCTGTTTTGATTTCACCTGTTAACAGTTGGTTCCATCCTCCACTGAAAACTCACAGATGGCAGTGGAATATGACATAGCCAAGTTTAGATCCCAAGCCCTGTAGTTAAGCTCTGTGGCCTTAAGCAGATGACTTCATCTCCTTGGACCTCAGTTTCCTCATTTGTAAAACGAGGCAAGTCATAGCTTTCTGTGCCCA